GTCATGCGAGAGGGAACAGATGGGCTGGGAGCCCAAACACCACTTACACTGCCGCCTCTGCCATTTTGAATTTTCATGGTACATTTTCTCTAGTGATAGATAATGTGTTTATTTCTCTCTCCTCACTGGATTAATTCCAGAAATCCCTTGTGAAGAGAGATTGAACAGTTCAGTCCTAACATTATGGAGTTTAGAGAAATGAGAGCAGATCTGATTGAGGAATGTAAGATGCTAAAGGGGATTGACAAAATAGACATGGAAGGGATGTTACTTCATGGGGCAATCTAGAACGAGAGGTAATAGTTTTAGAATAAGGAGTAACAGATTTAAAATAGAATACCCCAGAGTGGGATGGAAGCCAGAATAAATGTAATTAGGGGAGGCGATGGCCCAGTGGTACTATTGCTGCACTGTTAATCCAGAGACCCGGATAATGTTCTGGGAATCCAGGTTTGAATCCTGCCACTGCTGATGGTGGAATTTGAATTCAATAAAAATCTAATGATGACCATGAATCCATTGTCAATTGTTGGAAAAACTCACCTGGTTCACTAATGTCCTTTAGGGAAGGAAACTGCTATCCTTACCTGGTCTGGTCTACATGTGACTCCAGACCCACAGCAATGTGGTTGACTCTGAACTGCCCTCTGGGCAATTAGGGATGGGCAATAAATGCTGCCTGGTCAGTGACGCCCTCACTCCATGAATGAATCAAAAAAAAGGAAACAGACAAATTTTTAATTAGTAATAAATTGAAGGATTATGGAAAGTTAGAGAATATAAGAAGAATGAGAAGTGATGTTTTTGAAACATACAAGATTCTTACAGACTTGACAGGGTAGATGTGGAAAGGTGGTTTCCCCTTGTCTTGGACCAGAGGTCATAATCTCAGAATAAGGTGTTTTACATTTAACATAGAACAGTACAACACAGGAACAGGCCCTTCAGTCCACCATTTCTGTGCTGACCATGATGCCATTCAATATAATCCCCATCTGCCCACACACAATCTGTAGCTCTCCACTTCTTGCCTGTTCATGTGTCTGTCTAAATGTCTCTTAAACATTGCTGTCATATCCCCCTGGCAGCATGTTCCAGATACCTACCGCCTTCTCTGTAAAAAAAAAACTTGTGTCACGCATCTTCTTTAAACTTATCCCCTCTCACTTTAAACCCCTACGATCCCTCGAATTTGACATTTCCAATCAAGGAAGACGACTCTGTCTATTCACCCTGTCCCATGTCTCTGATAATTTTACAAATTTCTATCAGGTCGGCCCTCAGTCTTTGCTGTAGTGAAAGGCATCCAAGTTTGTCTTCTCCTGTTGCTAGTATACTCCAATCCAGGCCTCATTCTGCTGAACATCTTTTGCATCCTTTCCAAAGCCTTTCCTTCCTATAGTGTGGGGACCAGGGCTGCACACTTCAGACAGAGATGAGGAAGAATTTCTTCCCTTGAGGATTGTGAAATTTTTTACTACAAAGGGTTGTTGAGGCTGAGTAATTAATTCTATTCAGGGCTGAGAGATTTTGTAATCAGGAACCTTATCAAGGTTAAAGGGAAAAGGCAGGGAAGTGAAGATGAGGATTCAGATTGAAATTCTCATGCAATGCCCTCATTGAAAGATGGAGCAGATTTGATGGGCTGAATGGCCTAATTCTCCAATGTCTTATGGTTTTCCAGTCTAATCAATGTTATTTGTACCGTAATAGACAAGAATGACTGGTTCCTTCCCAGTTCTGAGGAGTTGTCCTTAATCCTGGCACCAGGCAGTCAATGCAGCCTTTAGGACTTGCACGCCCAGCTGCAGAGTATTGTAGCTATTTCCTAATTGTACTGCCCACTACGACCAAAACTTTCCTCTTCCCCACTTGAGTGGCTTGTACCACTATTGTTTCTATTTAATCTTGTGGAATCATACAGTACAGAAGAGGCCTTCAGCCCATCGAGTCTGCACTCAAAAGTATGCTGAATCTATACTTGGCCCATAGCCTTGAATGTTATGAAATTTTAAGCACTCGGCCAAATACTTTTAAAGATTGAGGTTTCCGCTTCAACTACCCTCCCAGGCATTGTGTTTCAGATTCCCACTAACCTCTGGTTGAAAGCATTTTTCTTCAAGTTCGCTCTAAACCTCCTGCCTTCACCTTAACGTTATTGCTGCCTTGTTATTGGCCCTACAACTAAGGAGCACAGCTGTTTCCTATCCATTCTGTTCAAGCCAGTCATAATCTTATATACCTCAATTAGCTCCCCTCTCAGCCTTCTCTGTTTTAAAGAAAACAACCTGAACTTATCCAGCCTCTTTTCGTTGCAAAATTGCTCCAGCCAGGCAACATCCTGGTGAATCGCCTCACAATGCAATCAGATGCTTCCGATAGTGTGGTGATCAGAACTGCACACAGTACTCCAGCTATGGCCTAACCAAAGTTGTACAGCTCCCTACTTTTGTAATTGATTTGATTTACTATTGTCATGTGTACTGAGATACAGCGAAAAGTATTGTTTTACATGCTTATGTAAGTACATCAGGGTAACAGAACAGAATATAGTGTTACAGCTACAGAGAAGGTGCAGCGAAAGATCAACTCTGGTATATCAGAGGTCCATTCTGATAACAGCAGGGAAGAAGCTGTTCTTCAGTCTGTTGGTATGTGTTTTCAAACTTTTTGTATTTTCTACCTAATGGAAAGGGTAGAAGAGAGGATAACTGGGGTGAGAAAGGTGTTGGATTATGTTGGTTGCTGTGCCCAACTGATAAAGGCAAGTGCCTTGTATGCTTCCTTAACTACCCAATTAACCTGCCTTCCACCTTCAGAGGTCTGTGGACAGGCACCCCAAGCTCCTTCTGTTCCTTTGAGCTTCTTGGCGTCCCACTATTCATTCAGTACTTCTGTGTGATGTTACTACATCCAGAGTACATCACCTTTCACTTTTAAGTGTTAACTTCGATCTGCCACTGATCTGCTTGTCTGACAAATCCATCCGTTCTCTTGTATCCTAAGATCTACCTCTTCACTATCAACCATCCAGCTAAGGTTTAGGTCATTGCAAATTTACTTATCGTTCTCCGCTTCACACTTTCCCAATATTGTTTATAGATGATAAACAATAAGGGACCCAGCACTGATCTCTGTGGTATGCCACTAGACACTGTCCTCCACACACAACCTTCTACCAACGCTCTGTCTCATCTTACTAAACCAATTTTGGATCCAACTTACCAAATTACTCTGGATCTCATGTGTTGTTACCTCCTTTATCTGTCTCCCATGTGGAACCTTGTCCAAAGCTTTGCTGAAATCTATATAAATGACATCAACTGCACTGCCCTCATCTGCAGACCTCGTAAATTTGGAAAAATCCAATCAAATTTGTTAGGCATGACCTCCCTCTGACAAATCCTTTCTATCTTTGATTAAACTTTGTCTCTCCACGTGGAAATGAATTCTGTCCTTCAGAATTTTCTCCAATAGTTTCCCTACTGCTGATGGGAGACTCACTGGTATGTAATTTTCCGCTTTTTCTTCACCATCCTTCGTGAAAAGTGGAACCGCATTAGCTGTTCCCCAGTCCTCTGTCATCTCCCTGTGGCCAGAGAGAATTGTAGGGAGTGTAGACAAGTTTCACCAGGATGTTGTCTGGGTTGAAGCATTTTATCAATGAAGAGAGATTGGATAAGCTTGGGTAGTTTTTTTTTCAAACAGTATGTTTGCCTGCTTTTCTTCCTGATCTTTACTGGTAAAGCATTATTGGAAGACCGTTCAAAGATATCATCCCTTCTCATTGCAGTGACTGACTGAATTAATAATCCAACACCACCTCCTCTTTTACTCCCTCTTCTGTGCTGCATGAAATCCCTGGAATGTTGAGTTCCTGATCCTCCCTCAAACATGTCTCTGTGATGGCAACACGTATTTAATGTGTCAAGCCATGGTCTTAACTGGTTACCTGTAATACTCCTAACATTAAAATAGAAGCCATTCAGCTTCATCTTATTACTTTGAAACTCAACATGACTGAACTCCCTCTGCCTCTGTTCCTTCAGAAGATTATGAACTAATGCTGTCTCCCACCCCCTTGCTGTGAACTAGTTTCCTTTATTCTTTATTCATTCGGGGGATGAGGGTGTTGCTGGCTAGGCTGGCATTTACTGCTCATCCCTAATTGCCCAGAGGTCAATTATGAGTCAACCACATTGGTGTGGGTCTGGAGTCATGTGTAGGCCAAACCAGGTAAGAATGGCAGTTTCCTTCCCTAAGGGACATTAGTGAACCAGGTGGGTTTTTCCCCCAACAATTGGCAATGGATTCATGGTCATCATTAGACTGTTAATTCCAGATATTTATTGAATTTAGATTCTACTATCTGCTGTGGGGGGATTCGAACCCGGGTCCCTAGAATGTTATCTGGGTCTCTGGATTAACAGTCCAGTGATAATACCACTAGGCCATCTCCTCCCCCAATCTAAACTCCTCTCAACAGTGATAGCAGATCCACAGTATTATAGGTTATATTTAACTAATAGTTTAGTTATGACATTCTTATGTAATAAATTCTGCAACCTGCTTTTCACTCTGGTGGATATGAAGTTTTGGAATCCATGGACAATTTGGTCCAAAGGGCCTGTTTCCATGCCGTATGACTCTATAACTATTTTTGCAATTGATTTTCTCTCTAGCCAGACTGATTCTGTATTCGTTGGTTAGAATTGCCTATTGATATGTGAAGATACTTTGTAATTTGTTTATCAAAATATGTTGAGCTGTATTTTCTCACAAAAATTTGCTCAGCATTGGACATGAAATTTGCCGTACTGTCAGTTTGGTTGTTATTTCTCCCCATAATTTACAAATGTTTTGCCTCATCTTTATGTTTTACCACTTACTTGCTGGAGAGTTGTGAAAGGATTTTAAAAACTTATTTGTTATTCCTAAATGTTTAAAACCGATGTGTGCAAGACAGCTGGCTTCATTAGATCTTTTCTCAACACCTATAGGTGTCCTCAAGGATTATCTGAGGGAACTGCCATCTCCTTTAATAACAAAGCAACTGTATGAAGCAGTTCTCGATGCCATGGTTAAGCAGCCCCTCAAGATTACGTCTTCTGGTTGCGAGAATGATCACGGTGACTCTGAATACACAGTTGGTCTCTTAGACTGCCTGCCTGAGGTGGAGAAGGTATGAATGAACAGCCTGTGTCTGAACAAACCTCTATTACTAATATAACATTTCTTTCTGATGTATAATACTTTTTAAAATTGATTATAATTTGAGGAAAAAGGGTAAATGGTGAGTTTTGTGAGACCACTTACCTGTCCCATCTAGTCTAACGTCGCACACAACATTCAGACATTTTTTTCCATAATTTTTGTTCTTTGTTTGAACAGTAAATAAGTAATATATTCCTCATTGAGCCTCAAAACATTAATCCAAATGTGAATTAGCTGATTCATAATTTCATTATTTGTGGAAAACTAGTGTTGTGCGGCGAGCTTGAGATTTTGATATTATTTAATAAATTGGAATACAATATAATTCTGCTCTATATTGTTAAATAGTAATTTCTTGCTGTTGCAATCGTTACTAAAATATGTAGTTTGTACATATAAAACTACGAAATAATTTTAGTAGAATAGATTTTTTTGTGAGGATGCAATACAGCTTCTGATTAAATTTAGTGATCTGTGCTCCCAGTGTTCACCTCATGCGAAGAAGCATTATGTGATTGTAGCTGCGTTGTTTCTCTGCTCCCTTTCATTGTGGTTTAGTACTGAAGTTTTAATTTCCCCTTTTAGTGGTTTTATTGCCACTGAATGTCAAATATTGAGGTGATAATAATTAGCCCATTCAGATGTAGTATTTGGTGTGAGTTTCCTTTCAGCAGGGTGTTTTATCTGATGCGGTAATGGTCATATTATCTCCCACTAAGTAAGAAACTAGACTGAATATTATGGTATTGAAGAACCCAACATTCATTTATCACAGAAATGAAGAAGAATCACAACAGACCCAAAACATAAACTGTTTCCCACAGATGCTGCAAGACCTGAGTTTCTCCAGCATTTTCTCTGTTTGTTTCAGATTTCCAGAATCCACAGTATTCTGCTTTTATTGTTGTTGTCAGCACTCACTCACGGTTCTCTACCTCGGACATTCAATGTCACTGGTTGTGAGTTTTGTGGGTCCCTATGTGGCTGATGAAACCAATCCTGGAACTGCATCTCCAACCATACAGTTGTCAAGTGTTTCTGGGATGTGGCATTGATCCTTGGCCTTGACATTGTTGACATTCCTTTCTTGAGTTCCTTTTCTGTACTTCCTCTTGCTGATGGGTTTTCTCAAAGCATTGTGTCTCTTCATACAGGAACTTCCTACAAGTTGGTTTCTACTGAATGAGGGTTTCCCATGCACTGACATCTGTATTGCATTTCTTGAGGGGAGCATTCAGGGAGTCTTTAGTACACTTCTTTTGTCCTCCTGCAGTCAAATGCCTTCCTTGAGCTGGGTGAATATGATTCACTTTGGCAATTGGAACTCGGCATCTTAAACATGTGGCTGGCCCAGTGGAGTTGGTTTCAGATGATCTTGGCCTCAATGCTGATGCTGTTTAGCTCCTTCAAGGATGCTGACATTACTATGCCTGTGCTACCAACTGATGTAGATAATCTGTCTGAAACAGAGTTGATAGTCCTCTGAAAGGTCCTGTCGTGGCTTCTATAAGTAATCCAACTTTTGGGGCAGTATAGAAGAGTGGGAAGGATGACTGCCTCATAGACAGGATCTTGATGTAAGCAAGGATGTCACAGTTGGCAGACTCTCAACATTTGGGTGTCCAAAGGTGGTGCTCACAGATTGTATGCAATGTTGACTTTCCACATTAATGTCAGTCCTGGATGAGAGGGAGCTATGCTTGTAGGGGAAGGTTCTACATTTGGGAGGATTTCTCCATTAACCTTAATGAAGTGATGGACCAGAACTTATCCTGGAAAGTTTAAGAAAGGATTTGAGACTCCTTGAGGTTGAAGCAGAGACCACTTCTTCAGTATGCTTCCTCCTTTTTAGTTATTCATTCACGGGATAAGGGCGTCACTGGCTAGCAGCATTTATTGCTCATCTCAAATTGTCCAGAGGGCAGTTAAGAGTCAACCACATTATTGTGGGTCTGGAGTCACAAGTAGGCCAGACCAGGTAAGGATGGCAGTTTCCTTCCCTAAAGGGACATTAGTGAACCAGATGGGTTTTTCCCAACAATTGACAATGAATTCAAGGTCATCTTAATTCCAGATATTTATTGAATTCAAATTCCACCATCTGCTGTGGGGGGATTCGAACCCAGGCCCCCAGAACAATATCAGGGTCTCTGGATTAACAGTCCAGTGATAATACCACTAGGCCATTGCCTCCCCAACTGTCAAGGGGATCAAGGGTTACTGGGAGAACGTGGGAGAAAGGTTTCTCAACCCCAATCAGCCATGATTGGATGGCAGAGCAGACTTGATGGGCTGAATAGCCTCATTTGTTCTCCTATGTCTTATGGTCTTACATATAAACACGGTTGTACATAGATATATGTTGTCGATATGTGAACAGGTGAAAGTGTTTACAAACAAATTTCAGACATTAGTGTCAGACTTTTGAGGTCTGACATCTCGACCCATACTTGAATTGTATACCTGTCTGGAGAGATATATGTTGTACTCTTGTTGCACTTGTTTGACACATTGGTTGTCATAGTGATGACTGCTTGCTCTCAACATCACTGCACAATCATAATCATTAGTGTGTTATTCCCACCCTGGTTGTGCATGATTAATGTATCTTACATTGATCTAAGTTGACTTCTGCTGCTTCACAATGTACTACCATGAGCAGCAGTGACTTTGCACAAGATAGACTGGTTGCATATTCTCAGAACCTTTGTTTGTATCCAAGTTATTGATATTTGCAATGCAAGCAAGCAGTCTGCCCAGTACATGGTTTTGGTAGTTCTCTCCTGCTCATTAATCAAGTATCTTTTTCATTCTCCTGTGCCTTTGAAGAAGAAAGCCTTGTGTCTCAGAATGATGACACATTTAGTTTCTGGGCAAAATTCTCACTTGCTGTCCAAACATGAGATGTCTTGGAATGATAATCCCTTTTCCATTGGTGTGTGCAGATGCAGCAGTCCAGTGCCAACATCTTGCTTTGTCATTCAACACTTAATGATTGTTTGTTTGATGTACATGACATATGCCTGCTAAGCTGTTTCAGTGTGGTAGTGGGATGATGATGTGAAATGGGTCACACCCCATTTAGTACACATGTCTTGAAATTCGTTTACTAGTGAATTGCGGTCCGTTGACAAGACACTATTTGATCTGTAACACCTTATAAACAAAATAGCACTTGTCATGTCAATGATGGTCATGCTTGTGCAGCTTAGTCACTAAGCAATGAGAAATTTAGAGAAGTTATCTCTTCTCTCTGTAACCTTCTGTCTGCACTGTGAATAAGCCTGTTACGACCTTCATCTATTTCCTGGGCCAGCTGTCTTGTTTGTTCAATACCCATGTGCTGGGTATGAGTTGGACATATCTTGGCACAACGCTCTTTTGTAACAGAACTTCATTAGCTTTGAAAATGACTCCTTGTGTTATACTAAGGAAATTTCTGAATGGCCAAAATTAACAAAATTATCTCAGGTACTTCTTTAATGCTGTCAGGCCATCCCTGGGAATACTCTTTTGCTAATTTTGTAGATGTTCATCTTTGCTGTTTCCAGTTGTAACTATTCACATTGGCTCTGGCCAAAGTGTAACAGATCTAGAGAGTCATAGAGTCTTGAGAATGTCTTCAACTTAATGGTCTAGACCATGAATGTGCATATCAAATGGAATATCTTGGTCTTTGTGTAAGGTGAGTAATGTATTCGGCATGTCAGATGTAATCATCCTGGTACCTGGTAATCATCCTGGTGTATATTGGAGTATATTCTTGGAGATTGTTGACTGATTCGATTGTGTCACTTGTAGCCTGATTTCTTACAGTAAGTGTGATTTGAAATGTGCCTGTATCAAGATTTCTTCGTACTGTAGTCATGCCATTGTTGAACTGTTGGTAGTTTCATCTTCAAGCAGGTAGATTTCAGGAAGCCTAGATGACGTTGCACATTGACGCTGAAATGTGATTCCACCAATGTATGAATTGGTGATCTGTTATATACTGAGAGTCAGACAGTCTCTTGTAGGTTATAGCATGGAGCGCCACTTGCTGAGGTACATGTTTTTCAGAATCCATAGTGATAGGTAAAGGTGCCACAGTCTTATTTGCTCTCTGAGAGAGATGTGGTGGATTACCTGAGGGTAATTTTAGATGAAGGGAGAGGTTGAGAAGGAGAGCCCTTCATTCTATACCTTTACCAGTACAGAAATTGAATCTGTTGGTCTCACTCTGCATTGCAAACCACTCATCCAACCAATTGAACTAGCTGACCCCCCCATAGCAGTAATATGTTAATATTAGTTGTGTGTTGTATTTTAATTTTTATTGCATTGTCCTACCGTTTCAGGACATTTTAAGTGTAATGGTTTCTGATTGCCTTATTACCATCGACATGAGGTTAACCTATGAAGAAAGGCTGGATATGTTTGGGTAGGTGTGACAAACTGCATCTATTACAGATTTTGTTGAATAGGTGTGCTTTGCTCTCTGTAACACCAGTGTTGGCTGCATTTAAACGTACTTGTTGGCCTACCAGTATGGCTTCATTCTTGCATCTGCCCTCCAGTGATGCATCAGTGCTATGGTCCTTTTTCTTGTCCAAAAGTTTCTTCCTAAAGGCTTTAGTTGATGTAAAGATGATGCCTAACTCATGGAACCTCTATAACACTTCCTCTGCAGAAAAGTTCAACCATGCCCTTTGCAGCATCTTCCAACAAGTTGCTGTTGGGAATTCTGTTTCAACATGAGTTGGAGTCCGTTATCAGAAGTTAACTCTTCTGTTGATCTGGTTTTTCAGAACTTTCCAGAACCTTTCTAGATTTTCCTGATTGTCTCTGGAAAACCAAATGTGCTAATTCTATGAAGCTGTTCCTTGCCAATGGTGAGTGAGATTTTTAGAGCTCTTTTCTCGGGATCATTTATCACTGAGTCTGTAAAATGGAACTCCACTACTTAATGCCTAATCTATAAATGAGGTT